TCTCCTCCAACGCGTCGAGAATATCGTTGGTGATGTTATTGGCTTGCTTCAGCATGCCCGCGTGGTCGTCAAACTTGGTGGACAGCTTCTCAGTTGCTGTGACCAGCCGGTCCATGCCTTGCTCGAGGTTATCTTGGCGTTCGGCGAGCAACGCGGCCTGTTGATCTGCAAGTTCCTAGGTGGAGAGGTCAGTAATCTGGTGTGAGGAGCGAGTCTTGGATACTTACGATTTGCTGTAGCATAGAAGTAGAAGAAATTACCGCTGACGAGACAACCGCCGTTAGGGCACCCATGTCCTCCTTGACCCGCTGCGATGCTTGCGCAAGTGTGTTTTCGTGTGCGAAGGCGAGTTGGGAATTGCTCTCGAGAACATTGTTGACCAAGAGACCCAGTAACTGTTGCAAGTTTTCGGCGTGTTGGAGCCCATCGTGGTATGACTCGGAGGTCTTCTTCAGTGCCAGGTCAAGATCCTTTGAGAGATAGTCTTCCACGCGTGCTAGGCCTTCGCTCAACCGGTCAATGTGTGGGGTGAGCTGCTCCAGTGCCTCAACAGACTGCCGGGCGCGATTGTCGAGATCATCCATGCGCTTCTGAAGCTCAGCCTCGACGCCATTAGTGAGCTGGGAAATGACTCGCGTAAGTCGCTGATAGAGCAAAATGTTTTGGGCTGCAAAACGGTCAGTTATGTATGTGCCACACGGGTCAGTGAAGAGAACCTACATTTCTCATGGTCTACCCTCGCAGCCTCGCAAAATCGCAGTGCCTTGTGACGATAGCTGACCCAGGTGGTCCAGGCGGCATCCGACGCCGCCAGCGACGAGAGACAGAGACCGATCTCACCAGGGCTCACATGCAGCTGGGGCTCGTCGCGCATGGCGATTTGGCTGAGCGACGGCTCGCGAAATTTGGCGCACTGCTTGGGAATCGAGAAGCTGCCGCGCTCCAGGTCGCAAATGGCCAGGCTTGCAGCATACGAGTCGACAAAGTCGCGGATTTTGCGCCCGCTGTCGGTGAGAATGGTCGCGTCGTCCTTGCCGTCGACCAGCTGGCAGTTGTTGACCAGGAGCCGTGCGGCCACGCGATGGCAGAGAGGCTCCAACTCGAGTTGCTCAAGCTCGCTCAGCGCAACAGCGTAAATGTTGGGGAGCCGGGATTTCTGGAGCACCTCGGAGGGCTTGTCTGAGTCCGGTGCGACTGCGGATGGTTAGTCGCTGTTGAGTTTGCTCTGAGACCTTGACACAACTTACGGAATGCGGCTTTCTTCTCGTTTCGCCAGGAGATACCGCTGGTGCAGGGCGCCAAAAGGGCCAGAAGGAGTACGGGAGCCCGCATTTTGGTCGCCTTTTCGTCGTTTTGAGTCGCTTTGTGCTAGCTAGTCGCAAGTGAAGTTATCTCAGGAGACAAAGTATACCAAGGGTGGATGATGAGTCTTGCTGATGCGGCTTTGGGAAAAGTAAATGATGGTGGAGGAGGAAGGCCAGAGTTTCGGTTCCTGGAGAGGAAATAAAAGGCACAAACCTGAGGGAGGGAAAGGTTTGGCTGAAGCGCATAGTGCTTAAACGGGAAGGCGCATCTTGAATAGGTGCGAGGGGGGGTGAGGAAAATCAGATAGGCGGAAATGGCTTCTCGATGCTTGTGTCGTGAGTCAACCTTGGAGTCGTTAATTGCCCTGGGATAGGCCTAAAGCAGGATGAACCATAGACAACTCAGAAAGACCAGCCGCCTACACAGCCCGGAACGGAGAAATTAAATTCAGCACAGTGCAGAACTACAACTTCATCTGAACCTGGTAGAATAGGTGCAAAACGTAGGCCATGCCTGGATAACCATTGTGAAAATTCTACAATAGAAGCCTCAACAGAGAGGCCATGGCATTCTTTGTGCAGTGTGGAAGGTGTGCTTGGGAGAGAAAGAGGGCCAAGCAGCTTTTACTTTATTTAGCGGGAAAAAAGCAGGCAACAAAACCCCAGTGGGAAAGACATAATCTCTAAAATCATTAGCCAACATTTATGCCATTGTAAATAGTGGTTGGAAAATGGGATCTCCAACATGTTCTGGTGATAATCGTGGACGTTGAGCTTTTGGTGTTGAGCGAACTGCGACCCCTGACCGCTGACTAAGGTTGAGCCCCACAGCCGGAGCCAGCTGGGTGCTCTCCAAGTGCCCGAACTTTTTTGAGCACGAGCATCAATTGAAGAAGAGCCGATTAGTTACAGCGCCTCGCAAGTCGAGTTGCCAGTTCGCCGTCGCCCACAATGCTCGCACCAAGGACAGGGCGACAGGCCCTGCAACGGGCATTGGCCTCCAATCCCTCCTCGACCGTCACACTACCGGGTTTCCTCGTCCCGGCCTTCCAGACAACGCAGGCATCGGCCCGCCGAGCCTTCTCAGCGACGACACACCGGCCCTCTAAGCTCGGCAGGACGCCGCTCTCGGTACCGCCCGGCGTGGACCTCGCAATTAGCGACCTGTTTATCAAGAAGGATATGACATCGTACCTCAAGACATACAAGCGGAAGATCACAGTGACCGGGCCGTTGGGTGAGCAGCATGCTTTGGGAAGCCGTCGATCAGGGCGCTGATCCGTTCTAGGAACGCTGGAGCTCGAAATCCCCGACTACGTCAACATCGACCATGACGCCGCAGCGAGGAGGGTGGAGCTGAGCGTGAAGGACCGGGACCAGAGGAACCAGCGGGAGATGTGGGGTATGGGCCGCCGTCGCTACAACCAGCAATGCGATCAGACCAGGGACTGACAAGCTGTCGCAGGGACCACGTGGTCGTACCTCAACAACTACATTATGGGTGTATCAGAAGGGCATACAGCCGTCCTCCGTCTAGTCGGTATCGGTTACAGGGCGACGATCGAGCCGCGACCCGCGTTGCAGGAATACCCCGACCAGCAGTTTGTCTGCCTGAAGCTGGGCTTCTCGCACCCGGTCGAGATGGGCCTGCCCAAGGGCATGAGGGCCAGCGCGCCACAGCCGACTCGAGTGCTCCTCGAGGGAATCAACAAGGAACAGATCATGCAGTTCGCCGCCAAGATCCGCCGGTGGAGAGTGCCGGAGCCGTACAAGGGCAAGGGCATTTTCATCAACGACGAGACCATCAAGCTCAAGCAAAAGAAGATCAAATAGACGAGCCGCTGGTGGGTCTTTGTATGTTTAGCAGTGTTTTCCTCCGCCGCAGTGGTTTTGTCTGGCTGTATCTGTGCAATAGATATGTACATTATTTTGGCATGGGTCACGAGTTGGCTTATTTCAGCCCGAGAACCTCCTGAACAACATCAAGAACCTGGCTGTGGACTGCCGCCGGCGCGGCAATCACGCCGCTGTTACTAGCCAGCGTTCTGCCAACGCCAAAGTCGAGACGACGCCCCTTAGTATCTGTGACTTGGCCGCCAGCCTCCCGAACGATCAGGTCGCCGCCCGCGTGGTCCCAGATCTTCTCTTGGTAGGTCTTGGAAGTCGGCAGGCGTAGATAGATATCGCCAGCGCCGCGGGCAATGGAGCCGTACTTGGCCTGCGAGTCCATCCTGACGCTGGGCTTCGTAATTCCCAACTTCTGCGCAATCTGCGCAGCCTCGGACTGGTTCGAGTGCCCCGACTCCACACTCTCGCAGAAGCTCGCGCTCGCCATCTCAGTCACCTCCTTCATCTTGATGTGCTTCCCCTCCGCCAGCGCGCCAGTGCCCAACGGCCTGCTCGTCGCACCCTGGCCAATGACCGCCGAAAAGATCACACCGCGTCCCTCGTCATCCGTCTGGTTCGCACCAATATCCGCCGCCAACGGCGCCTCATCATCGACCGGCAAGTTCGGGCACCCCAGCACCCCAACCTTGACATCCCCATCCTCCAGCAGCGCCAGCGCCAGCGCATACTGACCGCCCCTCAAAAACCCCTTCGTCCCATCAATCGGATCCAGCGTCCACACCCTACCCCTCCTCCCACCCTCACTCCTCCCAAGATCAATCACCTCCAGCATATCCTCCACATCCCGCAGCCCCCCGCCCAACAACCCCTCCGCACCAACATCATCCAGCTTGGTGTCCCGCACAAGGCCCCAGATCAGACCGCGCAGCGCCTCATCAGTGCGCAGCTGGGCCGACTCCTCCTCGGCGACGATGGCGTCGCCGGGGAAGTTGGCGCGCAGGGCGGCGATGATGAGCGCCTGCGCGCCAAAGTCGCCCACCGTCACGGGCGACGCGTCGTCCTTGGATACCGTGCCCTTGGCCTTCTCGTGGAATACGCGCTTCGTCAGGATCGCGGCGCGCTGCACGGCCAGCTGGGCGATCTCGAGCTCGCGGGCGTAGATGGAGGTCATGGTGGTTGGTGTTGGTGATGGTGGGGTGGTAGTGATGGTGGTGTGTTGGCGGGTGAGGTGGTTGAGGATAAGACCTAGACGGCGGGGGATGGTGGTGCTGGTGGTGGCGAAGAAGATGGCCAGTGTGAGGATGAGGAGAGAGAGGATTGAGATGGGATGGAGTTTCCAGAGCTTGGGTTTGGGTCGGCTGCGAGTGGCGGCAGTTGGAGATTGTCGAGAGTTGATCATTAACTTAGCCGTGTGGGATTAATTGCTGCTGTCTTTATTTAACCCGTTTGCAGGTTGCTCTTATTCTCCATAGATTCCCCGCACCCCAGAAGTTGCGATGCGATTACGCTGACATTGTTTCCATGGTGGGGGTTGAGTGCTCCACAACGGAAACACGGACATTCAAGAGCGCCAACCACGTCACCACCGGGCTCCCCGGAAGAGAGGACCGTCGATTGAGGCCTTTCCCCTCGGAACTCGGGAACTCATGAAAACCGGAGCACAAGTGATTTAGATCCAGTCCCAAAGAATATAATGGTTCATGTGAGCGACCCGTTAGAACATGAGCTTGGTTCAACACCGAACACGGAGCAGTTCCAGTCGCGTGGATCCATCCCTCTTCCACCAAGACAGGAATTTGAAAAGCCTCCGTTGACTACGGAATGTAGTAAGGAAAAGAGCAAAAAGAGTGGGATAACCAGGAATCGAACCTGGGTCCTCTCGGATCGCTGTGTCAAACCACAACGAGAAGTACTAACCACTATACTATTATCCCATGCCTTATGTACTGCGTTACATAACAGAAGCTTATATTATTTGCAACCCCGGGCCTTGATTACAGGTTGGTTCACAAAACATCAACTTCCGTTCGTTCTTTCTCCTTTTCAAGTTACGCAAAATACATTAGTATTCCCTATACTTCCCTACTGGGCCGGGTATAGAGATTGCTAGTTGACAGAATGTTCTGGCAGTGATAACGGAAAGCTCTGGTTCTAAGAGTAGAAGCTATTATCTTGAAAATGCAACTCTACCTAGGGATTATACCAATTTACAGTTCCATGCCTCCATCCCGTGAGCGTTGCCGTACATTCAGCGACTGATGCTGGGAATAGGCCAAGCTACCCTTACACGGTACGTTGATACACTGACAGTAGAAGCAGTTGAGGTGTGATGAAAACGGTACCCTATATTGTTAAGGAGGAGTGGTTAAGCCCGGCCCGCACCTGAACCACTGATTACTGCATGCTTTGGGGTTTGGAACCTGCCACCTTCACCTTTTAATGGTTTAGGGTTTCGGCTGAGTATTCATTGAATTGTTGAACAAACATCAGGGGTTTCTATTTTCATTCGCCCAGAATCCCGTCGCATTTCAACCCTCCGATAAAGGGGCTCGGATAGCATCAGACAACTAGTACCAAAACAACTTTGTCTTTACGTCCTCATCGACGTTCAGTCCCGCAGATCGTGCGACTCACCATGTCGCCTTCTGCTACCCCAGCCCCACAAGCTCGCCGAGTAGTAGCACCGCACACTATTTATGAAAGGTTTCTTGCGAGGCGGGGGCCTACACCCGGGTGTAAGATTAGACCCGACTGTGATATTGGGGAGGGCGACTCGCCCGGTGGGAGAGGTTCCGGGAAGGTTGAGCGTACCTCCATAGGTATGGACCAAGGAGAGGATTGGTAGTTATAGGACTCTGAGTCGTTAAACCTATCCCCATCAAGCGACAGTTCCCAATATCTGTGTTTTTTTTCCAAGTCCATGTTTGGTCGGCTCACAAGCGTTTCGATTCGGCGTTCTGCCATACCAGGCCCATTACGCCCGTACTGTGTTCCTGGGGTCGAGTTTTGGTGATGGCTAGGTACTAACTGACTTGATAGAGCTACTAGCGGAGGTCGTTCTCATTAGAAGAGCCCTCGTCGGGTCCAATGAGAAGCAGGTTGCGTGCCCCTCCCATTGAAGCTTCGCAGCTTTTGGGATGCATCATGCAACCCTCTTCAACGAATCATATTCATCCGTGATTCAAGCAAACTAGTCGTGGATGCATTAGGTTCGTAGGCAGCAATCTGCGGCGACCGCAAAGTCTGCCTCGCTTATTTTTGGCACCGCCTGGTGTCGAGTTTTACTCCGTTGCGGCTCTTGCTCCCGGTTCCCATCATCTCGAAAGGTCAATCACCAGTGACCAACGTGCACCTTCCCTCGTCAACCCCACTGTTTCCAGCTTCAACCAGCGTCGGCACGAGCTATGGCACAGCCCAGTCCGTATATTACATACTCCCCCGTGAGACTTGGCCTCCATAGGTACGTTCAGGAACGGGAAGCCGAACAGCAAGCAGAACTGGGGAGACAGGCCTTGGAAAATCAACGGTTGGCGAGTGAGAAGACACTAGAGTCGGCCGTGTTGGCCGAGTTTTACCGATACAAGCGCATCCAGACTTACTACGGGTCGCGCGTGCTCGTCCTCAAGCCTGGCAAGAAAACAGACAGACTGGTCGGCAGTCTTGAAGACCTGTGGATCGATGGCGAGGGGCCGCGCTACTCGGCGCTCTCCTATGTCTGGGGCGAGCCCCAACTTAACGATGCGATTTTCATCGATGGGAAAAAACTGGCCATCACAAACAATCTCGGTGTGGCCTTACGGCGGCTCCGTCCTGCTGCCGGACAGCCTGCGCTACGAATCTGGATCGACCAAATATGCATCAACCAGAACGACACGGTCGAGCGGAGCCAACAGGTTAGGCTCATGCATGCCATTTTCCGAAATGCACACCGAGTTTGCGTGTGGCTTGGTGCGGACCCCGAAGGCCACGCACCCAGAGCCTTTCAGCTGGCAAATGCGCTGCGTTCCATCTTTGAGGATAAACTTCTGTCGAGCCTCTGCAAGTCGAAAGGGGCTAATCTTGACTGGATTCCTCTCGAAAACTGGAAATCTCTGCGGGCACTCAGCAAACTGCCTTGGTTCCGCAGGGCTTGGATACCTCAGGAGATAGGGACAGACAATGAAGCAATCGTCCACTGGGGTTCGGAGAGCATCCAGTGGGAGGCGCTGCACCACTCCATGAGCAAGTTGGAGACTCAAGGCTGGGAGCTCAAGAAAAAGTACAAGATTGATACCAGTTCCGTCACGCTGCTGTTTCGGCGGTTTGTTGAGCAACCACGGGATGAGCCCGGGGGGCGAGCACGACACAGCTTTGTCTACCAACTGTGCTTGAGCGCTAGGAACTCGGCCACGGACCCCCGAGACTATGTCTTCTCACAGCTTGGCCACTACTCGGCGCGGATCGAAGCTGAGCAGGCGCTCATAATCCAGCCCGACTATGACAATACGATTGCGGCTGTCTACCACGAGATTGCCATCCGCGCACTCACTGTTGATAGCACTTTGATGTTACTGAACAGTGTGTCGGACAATGGGGAGGCCAGGCCACCACTCCCGGGACCAAATATACTGCCGAGCTGGGTTCCACGGTGGGATGCAGGGAGATTTCACAGTCTTATAGGTCACCCTGGGCGCTACAAAACATCTGGCTCGACCAAATCGTGGATTACAAAGGACTCGTTCGAGGATAACTACAACACGCTGTTAGTCAAGGGTCTCGTAGTTGACACGATCGACAAGGTGACCGCCAAATTCACCTCGAGCTGCTTCAACTCGGAGTCTCCCAAAAAAGAGCTTATCCAGACGGCCTGGCGTCTCTGTCGGCCTCCCAAGCCCGCCACCGGCCAGGCTTCCAAACACGAGCCCTTCAAGTTCACCACGCAGGGGACATACCAGAACGACGCCTCTATCCCAGCCCTCAAGGCATTCCTCGACACCCTCGCCCCATCCGCACTCTTCAGCCACATATCACCACCCCCTTCCACCTCCCCAACACCGCCCAAAACCAACGACACCGCCTACGCTTCCGGCATCTCAGTCCTCTCCAAGCTCTTCCCCCCCGCCGCATTCAGCACCAAACACGACCCGCGCAGGCCCGGGCCGCCTCCCAACACCACCAACAGCGACTCGGCAACCCCTCCAGCAGACCCCCCAACCCCAAGCCCAACCTAACCGCCTGGCTGCAGGCGGCAGAGGACCACGCCGTGCACCGCTGCTTCGCCGTGACCAAGGCGTCGCGCTACTTTGCCATGGTTCCGCCGACGGCCAGGACGGGCGATCTCCTGTGCATCTTGCGCGGGGGCGAGACGCCGTATGTGCTGAGGCTGGATCCGAAGGACGCTGAGAAGCGGGTGTTTGTGGGCGAGGCGTACGTGCCGGGGTTGATGGAGGACGCGTCGGGGTTGTTTGGTGGGACGGGGGTGGAGCTGGAGAGGTTTCGGTTGCGGTAGTTGCTACCTACCTAGGTAGGTATCGTGTTAGGACGGGGACTTCTTTGGTGTGGGCGTGACTAAAAAGGGGAGGGGGGACGAGTGGGAGTGAGATGTTTGTCGTGTTTAAGGTGGTTGGTGCCAAGTTGGGCTTGCGGCCAGGAACGGCGTCTATGGTGGGAACTGGGAGTTCTTGCTTATGAGGGATTGGGACTCGTGCGCTGCTTGGTCCGAGGGTGGGGTGGGGGATCGTTTAAATGGTGGGCGAATGGTGGGCGAGCGCTGCATTCAGGAAAGGCTTGATGTGGTCGAGATCGAAGTCATCAGAGTGGACAGCGAAAGTGTGCCGCGAGAGGGTGTTTACAAATGGTACACAGATCGACCCTGGTCATCATACAATATTCAAGGATGGAAACTCGGCAACCAACACGGTCGATATCTTTCCTACTGCGCCATGGCCTCACGGTCACTGAAACAGCAACTATCAGTCATACCAGATGGCATTCATGCCAAACCCGGGCTCCGGGATGCGCAGGCGCGCCACGCGGTGCAGGAACTCGTCCTTCCACCTATACATCTCAAGCCAGCCCTCCTGGTCATCCGTGATGGCCATCCACTCGTCGCTCCAGGGGCACGGCGAGACGGCGTTGCTGTGGCCGCCGCTGGTCGGGGTGGGGTGGAGCAGGATCTGGCGCTCGATGCTGCCGCAATCGCGCAGCTTGAAGGCGGCCATGTAGCCCTGCAGCTCGAACTTGTTGGCGCGCGACGACGCGAACATGTGCTGCCCGCTGAACGTCAGCGCCACCACGTCGGCGCGGTACAGGCCCTTGCCCGTCTCCTTGTCGCGCGCCGGGATCCCGGGCGGGATCAGCGGGTAGCTGTGGTGCGTGTACACGGGCATGTGGGTGGCCGGGTCGATGACATACTCGCAGATGCGGTTGCCCGCCTCCATTAGCGCGTACAGGTAGTTGCCGGTCGGGTGCATCGCGACCCAGCGCGGGTGGTCGCCCACGTCGGGGGCGTCGACGCTGCCGACCAGCTCTACCTCGCCCGACGCCAGCTTGCGGTGCGTCCACAGCTTGTTGGCCGTCAGATCGGCTGAGTAGAGGTAGGTCTCGGTCGGGTCGAACACCATGCCGTGGATGCCCGTGTTGGGCTGGTAGGGGTAGTTCTGGATGTTGGTCTCGAGCTTGCCGGTGTTTGAGACGGAGAAGATGTTGCCGAAGCCGGCGTGCTTGTAGAAAGGATTGGCATAGACGGCGTAAGGTGGTTTTTTGGCCGCGAGCAAAAAGATTGCGCGTGTGTTTGTGTCGGCGCTGTTTGCATTGGCTAATGAGCAATCGAGGTGGTTAGCGGTTGATTGCGAGCAGATGACTCGGTCATGAGCATGATATGAAACATAACAAAGACATAACATACGGTCATCGCCCATGGGATGGGATGCTTCATGGACAATTTCAGTCGGGCTCCGGACGGCGAAGCTTGACCACTTCTTCATGGCCGCGCCGTAAATGTTTTTCCTCGTATGCTGCATCCCATTGTGAGCTGATGCTGCTTCATTGGACGGCCAATTGGGGCCGGGGTCGTACGTCGAAGGTCATCCATGATATCGGTTCGTCTTGCGGGATCTCTGTGCGCTTGACCAGCTTCAGCGTGAGGTTTTCGTCGTCGAACTGAACCGTGAAGATGGCCCCTGGCGGGGTCCATGTCCCGATCATCAAGTGGTGGAGGGGCATGGCTGCTGCCAATGACGTCGGATGCTGTTGGTGCCGGGGGTTTTGGGGGTTTTCTTGGGGCCGAGAAGAATAATTCCGAAGACCTAACCGTGTCTTCAACAAGCAATTGCGCGACGCCCCTAGAATCGTACGAGACAAGATTGGCGTTGAACGGAGAATTGACATTGCATTTGATGTAGGTTATCTCTCTTCCTGCAACATTATCCTCCCAGGTCCGTCTGCTGCCGTTTCTTGGCGCCGGACATGACGCTGAGTGCTGTGTGAATCTTTACCCCTCGGCGCGACTAGCCTTCGGAATTGCGATTGTGGGGTCGGGAGCGGCGGCGGTAAATGCGAGAACCACCCAGCATGTGTCGGGATTTCTGGCGCTTCCGCTTCCATCTGCCCCCCCGCGACTCGGCCCCCCCGGCAATTCCGCAGAATGGATGGTGCCGCCTTCAGAGCCCCTTGTCTCCCGCCCCCCGGCCTCCCGCCTTTCGCGCACCTTGCTGTCCCGGATCGAAAGGGTAAAAGCTCATCCCCACCATTCATTTTCTTTGCTGATGAGATCCTGGCAGTCGCGACTTAGGCCGAGCTTTATTCCTCACATCATCGCGCCACAAAGCGCGAAACCTAGAGGGAAGAACCCGATCGGAGTAGTCTGCGGCGAAATCGAAATATTTGCGCAAGCTACACTTTCTGGCTTTGTGCTGCGTAGATAATCCCGGCGATTCATGAGAAGGCTATGGCAAACACATGGTCGCCAGAATGTTGTTGCACATTTGACAAACCGACAGGGGTGTCGTTGCCAATGGGCTGGGGATCGGTCGGGCCCCCCGCGGGTTTTCCAGCGCCCCCAGATCCATCCGAGCACGGTGTGCCTGGGTGTCCCTGACCCCTGGATACATGTTCTGGCAGGGCTAAATTTGTCCCGAGTTGCCCCCTTCCCCAACCCCACTCCCGTAGCGGTGACCTGGGGACAGACAAAGCTGCCGTGAGAGCACCCCGATTGTTCTCAGCGGGGAAAATGATGCCACAATGGGACCTCCGCGCCTATCAGGTTGTCCCGATTCACAACCGACCACCCGGCTGCGATGTCTCATCTGTACCGGACGGCGAGGTGAGGCGACGTGCTGCGAGGTCTATATAAGTCAAATGATGTTACCTGCCCTGTTTCCCGGTTTCTGCTTTTCATTCACACCTTGCATCTTCAATATCTACCTTCTAGGCTTGGTACCTGAGATATCATTGGATCCCTGACTTACCTTCTGCTGCCGTCTATTCCACCCATCTCCCTCTAATACCAAAACACCACAACACCACCACCATAACCCTAACAATGGCCCCCGACAAGCCCTCTCACCGTTTTGACCCCAACTTCACCGCTCAGGTGGTTGAGGGTATGGGCCCCAAGACGACCCCTCGCAACCGTGAGCTCCTCGGTGCTCTAATCCGCCACATCCATGACTTTGCTCGTGAGACAGAGCTCACCATCGACGAGTGGATGGAGGGCGTCAAGTTCGTCAACTCCCTGGGCGAGATCTACGTCAAGAGCAACAAGACCCGTAACGAGACACACCGCATTTGCGATGTCCTTGGTCTCGAGTCGTAAGCCTACCCTTACCTCCCCTTGCTAGACGCAAAGCGTATTCTAACATCACCCAGGCTGGTCGACGAGATCGCCCACAAGATCATCTCCGAGTCGGGCATGGACCCCACATCCTCCTCCATCTTGGGGCCCTTCTGGTCGCCCAACGCGCCCTTCCGCAAGCACGGCGACGCCATCTTCCAGGACGGCGTGCCAGCCGGCGGCCGCGTGACCAAGATGCACGGCGTGATCCGCGACATCACCACGGGCCAGCCCATCCCCAACGCCGTCTTCGACATCTGGCAGGCGTCGGCCAACGGCAAGTACGACTTCCAGGACCCGGAGAACCAGACGCCCAACAACCTGCGCGGCAAGTTCCGGGCCGACGCCGAGGGCAGGTACTGGTTCTACTGCCTGCACCCGACGGCCTACTCGCTGCCGCGCGACGGGCCCTCGTGGCAGCTGCTCACCATGATGGACCGCCACCCGATGCGGCCCGCCCACATCCACATCATGGTCACCCACAAGGACTTCCAGGGCTGCACCACCCAGCTGTACCCCAGCGACGACCCGTGGATCAAGAGCGACACCGTCTTCGCCGTCAAGGACGACCTCGTCGTCGAGTTCAAGCCCCTCAAGGACGACCCCAAGGCCGTGCTCGACCTCGAGTACAATGTCAACCTCGCTCCCAAGGGCTACAAGGGCCGTCTTTAGGTAACGGTCGGGTGGTGAGATTGTAACGATTGAAAGGGGGGATTTCTTTGTGTACATATATCGGCATGTATATACCGGCTTTAGGGATAACCTGGACGTGGCTGGGAGGGGGTTTGTCATTGAGAGAATTAGCGATTCCATCATTTGGATATGTATGAGAATTAAAATATCAGTAACACACGCGTGGTGCCTTGTTTGCCTTGTGATGAATTTGGGTCTTGCGCCCCAGCATTCAGGTCACGGCTTGACTGACGGGAGGTTATGATGTTTGTCAAATCATGTCTAATACCATGGTTATGAGAGCCTAGTATCAATGTTAGCGATGCCCTCAACACAACCAACCGTCTCATAGGCTGCAATTCGTGCCTCACAAAGATAAACAGCGAGTCATCATCGAGAGTCGGGAGTTAGGGACAGCTTCCCAATTGCAAGGAAGACTCTGGAGCATACTGAATAAACAAGTGGCAGGAACCTGAAAATAAAAGGGAATATTCTCCTCGGTAAGACAGAAAAAGAATGCATGAGGGGCCAGTTCCTCGTTAGAGGAAAGCCAACAAAACAAAACAAAAACACAATGTTGATTGTGCGCTGATGAATGACAAGGGTGAGATTCGAACTCACGCCCCTTTCGAGACCACGGAAACTCGCAAGAGTCAGGATCAAGGATTGTAACTCCTTAACGTGGCGCCTTAGACCGCTCGGCCACCTTGCCTTCTGGAAGATTGTTGAGACTTGTGGGGTGGGGATGGGGGTTATGGAGGATGGGACGGATGGGTGGTGGAGTCAGGGGCAGACCTCCATGGTAGGTGGTATTCATGGAAGCTGGGTTAGGGTTGGTTATGGGACATGGAATGCTGGGATGGGTTGGAACAAGTGGGACATCTGGTTCGGCTTACGTTGAATGTGATAATAAGACATTGATGGCTGATGAGCAGCTGAGACGAGTAGATAGACTGGCATGTAGCTCGTTATTAAGATACTAGTACTTTTGGCCCTTGGTCATCAGTCAGGGGGTGGTTCGGAAAAGAGGCCCGGTACACTGCGGTTGCCCAATACCACCTAGGAAACAAAAGCATCGCGAATTTGGATGGATGCTCGTTCGTTCACTCGAAATGGAGCATGGCCGTGATCGTATGCAGGGTGCTTCATACACAGACCCATCTGACCTTGGGCTTGAGGCAAATGTTCGGGCAGATTCAACTTCAATTGGCCCCGCACACCCCTAGGATTACCTCGGATGCAAACCAACGCTCCTTTGGCGCTCCCTACCGCCGGCGAGTTGTATAAGTTTTGTGGACAGAATATGTACAGCACCACAACTGTTCTATTTCTTCTCCTCAGTCTTCTCCTCTGGTTTCGGTGTCGGTAACTTGAACGTGTCGGGTGTCCGGTCCACGCCAGGACCAATCTGTTCCCACGCGCTGGATCCTCCCTCGAAGTTGCGGAACGCTTGCGTAAGCTCGAGCGGTTCTGTGACAATGCGCTTCTTCTCCTCGTCCCACCGAATCTCGGTATAGCCCGTGACTGGGAAATCCTTGCGCAGCGGGTGACCTTCAAAGCCGTAGTCCGTCATGATACGGCGCAGGTCGGGGTGATTGAGGAAAAACACGCCGAACATGTCATACACCTCCCGCTCGTACCAGTTGGCGCCGTCGAATAGCGGGGTGGCGCTGGGCACCGGCGTGGTCTCGTCCGCATAGGTTTTGACGCGGATTCGGGAGTTGTGCCGGACGCTGAGCAAGTTGTAGACGATTTCGAACCGTTGGTCGCGGGTGGGGAAGTCAACGGCGGTGATGGTGCTCATCTGGGTAAATTCAGCCGCCGTGTTGTCTAGATAGATCATCAGCTACCGGCCAAAAATGTCGTCCAGCGTCGCCTTACACTTCAAGAAAGCGAAGACAGGGATGATGCCGGAGGGGGGGATGTAGATGGTTAATTCGTCCTTCCAGACTGAGAACTGCTGGATGTACTTCGGGAGACACCCCATGAGCCATGAGCCGTACTTGTGCATGTTGTCGGACTTGGACTGGTACTTGTCTGCCGGATTGACGAGGGGGGCCTGAAGAGGGGCGCCGACCTGACCGCGGGGTGCGGCGCGGGGATTCTGGACATCCTTGGGAAGGTTGACGTTGGTGCGGGCGGTTGTCGCGAAACACCGCACGGTGGCCTCGTTGCGAGCTGCGACCGATGGGTTGGCCGGTCGTAGGGCTGAGGCCAGAGCCCTATTTCTGCAGAGCTTGCTGGCCATGGTTATGGTCGGGAGGCGGGCGCCAATTGATCGAGAATCAGCCGGTGGCCTCGATCGAAGACTGCTTGACGATTCGATTCGATTTCGGATTGACGTCGAGCTTGGAGCTGCTTGTCCCACCCAGTGCAAGAACAGTCACGTGGATGGTTACGTGATCAAGTTCCCTCGAGAGCAGCTCAAGGAGCCGACCCGCATGTGGTGGCGTGTCCAACCACAGGCCGAGGGACACGTTCAGCAGAACGCTAAGCCAGGGTTGGCCTAGCGGCAGAGCCGAACCCTTGAGCGAAAGGCTCTGCGTCGCCTGCATTCCTCCTCAAAACACGCAACCACTCCTCCTGCTACCCATTTTCCACCAACAAACCAAAGTTGCGGGGGTTGCCCATGTCCTCGTTGTGAATTTCTAAAGGCGTTCATCAGAGGGATCATTTGTTATTTTTCTTCCATTTTCCCGTCGCTTCCCCGATACTTAATACCTACTTAACAGTGCGATTTCGCCTAGCATCTCGACAAACGGACCGATCGATCGTTGACGTCGACTTTCAGCTCGGCACGACCCTGTTGCTTCCTCCCTCCCTCAACCACCGTCTGCAACCATGGCTCCGGAAGACACATACTTCGATGATGAGGAGGACTGTTGGTATGGAACTTCCCATCCAATCCCGCCGTCTCAACCCCGCCACCTCCGTCCCTCGTGCACTTGGTGTGCTGCTTCCACCCGCTAACCCCGCGTGCCACAGCCCTCTTTGCATCGAGGAGTTTGATCTCTCTGACCGAAACTTTCGACCATGCCCTTGTGGATATCAGGTACGGACTTGTCCGCCCCTCTTCACCCACACCCTAGCGGCACGCCGCTGACACCTTCTCCAGATATGCCAGTTTTGCTTCAACAACATTCGGTCGAACATGAACGGGCTCTGCCCAGCATGCCGCCGCCCATATGATGAGAAGACCATACAATGGAAGGTTGTCACGCAGGAAGAGTAAGCTAAGTCAACCCTGTGTTGGTTCTCACTCACTGACCGGCTGCAGGGTCGCCGAATTCCGAGCGAATATTCAGAAGAATCAGAAAAAGCGCGCCGCCGAACAGCGACAGAAAGAAGTGCAGAAACGCGAGGCCGAGAAGGAGAATCGGAAGAATTTGGTGGGCGTCCGGGTCGTCCAGAAGAACTTGGTTTATGTGACTGGGTTGACCCCGACAGTCCGCGAGGACGAGTTGCTCAAGACGCTCCGGAAACCCGAGTTTTTCGGTCAATACGGCAACATTCTGAAGATTTCCATCAGCAGTCGCAAGGGCACCGACGGCCACAACCAGTCTCTCGGCGTTTATGTGACGTTTGAGAAGAAGGAGGACGCCGGCCGGTGCATCCAGGCAGTTAATGGCTCCCAAAACGGCGATAGGGTGTTGAGGGCTCAGCTAGGGACAACCAAGTACTGTTCAGCCTGGCTGAGGCACGAGCAGTGCGCGAATCGCCAATGCATGTTCCTTCACGAATTGGGAGACGAGGAGGATAGCTACAGCCGGCAGGACTTGTCTTCGATGAACAGCATCAACTCGCAGCGACCTATTCAAAACGCGGGCTCCTCCCGTTCGGCGTCGAGACAACAAGCCCACCCATCGCCATCCCCCGCTATCGCGCAACCTATGGCGAGAAGTTCCAGCAAAGATGGCTCGGACAGTGGCGACGCCCCGGCGCTACCAGCCTCGGCGAACTGGGCGCGTAACCCGCAGGTCCGTAGTCGACGGGGAAGTCACGCTACAAGCGCCGCGGCCCCTAGCCCAGCCATCTCGAACTCGCTGCCGGCAACTGCCGAATCGGCTGTCGAAGACACGCCAGCTGAATCCTCTACCGTTGCGGGGCCCTCTCGTGATAGCCCGGCAACTGGTTCGAAGAAACCCAGCTCTAACCCGGCCGTGGAGAAGGCGAAGCGTATTCCGCACGACGCTCTCAAGTCCTTGTTGAAATCACTCGAGGGCTGCTCGCTTGCGTGGCCCAAACCCGGTGGCGATATACCGGACGAGGAGTTTAACAAGCTCTACCCTCCCCTCTTCGACGTCCGTGGCGGGATGCGCCGCCGAGCCATGCGCGCCTCCGAAGATACCAGCAGTGTCGACGATCAGCAATCGAACGGCGCCCGGGCGCCCTCGGAAGACGAACCCGAGAGTAGTGGCAGTCTGGCTTTGGGCGGTGAACCCGAGGATCGCGAGCATGGTCGCGAGGGCCCGAGCTTTGACCCCCGACGAGCCGCGCAGCCCCCTATTCAACGAGGCAGTACGGATGGGCTCTTTGGTCAGGCCGTCGGTTCCGGCTTTGGGCAGACGAATGCGAATCTAGGCTCAATCGGCGGCAACCGCACGATCACGCCCCAGCAGCCGGCGTTCATGCGTCAGCCGAGCAACTTTGTTGACCACCTGTCTGCACAGCCGAACCTGTTTCAGGGGCAGGGCCACAACCGCCAGGGCTCGCGTTTCAGCTTCGCCAACGAAGGGAGAGAGGCCGCTTCGGCCACGTCCGTGAAGCTGGCGGCGAACCCCCGGATTATGGCGCAGCAGTCGTCGATGATGCCATCTTCTTTCCACAACCAACCTGGTGGTCAATTTTACGCTAGTTCCGTGCCCGGCCCCCCTCCGGGGCTCAAGTCGACGGGCACACCGCCGGGCGTGTTCGGGCAGCACGGTTTTGGGTCGGCCGCATTCGGCGGCGCTTCGAAGGATACCAACGAGATGCTGCAGCTTTTCCGCAGCCGGGGTGCGGGCAGCCAGGCGCATGACGCCGGAAAGCGTGAGTACATGTTCTCTTCCTTTCCTAACCAGTACCCACCCTCCACCTCATCCACCCCAGCTCCTGCCTCGAGCCACCTGGCAACGCTCTACGGTTCTCAGCCTGGAGTCTTCCATGATTTGGGTTCAAAGCAGAAGAAGAAGGGGAAGAAGCACAGACACGCTAACACTTCCTCCTCTGGGGGGAGTGGCCTAGTTGATCTTGCGGACCCGAGTATCCTGCAGGCGAGGATGCAGTCCCAGCAGCATCTGCAGCAACAGAGCAATGCCAGTCTCGGACAGGGACTGTTCGGTGGTCAGTCGCAAGGTGGGTACACCAACCCGGGCATGATGTATAACCCGGGATACCGGGCCTGGTGATTTCGGTACTGCGACATTTGCGATTTCTATTCATTCATCTCTTTTCGGGAGGGGCGGCACCCGGTTTTGTTGTTTTTTTCTGCTGTCAAACTATATATTACGACGGCGTCGCTGGCAACGAGGGGTATGAGGATTCAAGAGGCATACATAGCCTTGATTCCGTGGAGCATCACCCGAGCGCCGGCTCCGAAGGAGGAGCCGCCTCGGGTTGGCGTCATTTGCATTTTGGGCGAAGAAGCACGGAGCCCTTCACCGGAGATTCGCAAATTTTGGGCTCACCATGTCCTGTTTGCTTCCTCGGTCAGGGTTTTTGCATCGCCAGGGT